AGCGCTATACTAGAGAATGAATGTCCGCCGAACTGAAGCAGAAACCTTGAGGAGATTAAATGTTTCGGACCAATTCTTTGCCTCTTTCTCAAGTGTGTGTGTCATTACAAGTGACCCGAGTGACACACAAAAACAGGTTGAGCTACTTAAGTCTCAAGCAAAACAGTCCAGAGTCAGTTTAGGATTGACTGAATGCACCTGAGAGGGTCACATTACTCTAGTCACATTAGTGATACAGAAGGAGGCATAAGCTTAAAAGGGAAGAGGTCATTATGTGTTATATTGCAACGAGAAGCTTCTGCACCTTGATGTGTCCAAAAGCATTAAAAACAGCATCACTCATCCATTATTTAATATTGAAGTTAGCCTTGGAGATAACGCCACAGGCTTCAGTGTGTCACTTTAATGGAGGCTGCAGTAGTGAGCAATTTTGTGAATGGGAGTCATTTTCCTCTGAGAGGCCTCTGATAATGACTGTGTGAGTATGGTGACAGGGGTTAAGTATTTGAATTTGTCAATCGCTAAATTACTGAGATATGTAAAGGCTTACAGAGCCAAAGGAGGCTGCGGTGTTTTGGTGTTAAATGTGGAGGGTATGGATTAGTCAATACACGCTGCCTGTTAGACTTTAGTGGAGTATTTACTCACTGCAGAGGCCCCGGCGTGTTCACACATTTGGACTTTGACATGATCTCGTCTGTTATCAATGTTTTAGTTTGGGTTGACCTATATTTTTTCGCTGCTGCTGGTGTTTTGTCAGAGTGGGTCAGAGGAGACAGCAGTGAATGTGAATGTTTATCTGGGTTAGGCTTTGATACAAATGGATGATTAAGTTGTTCACTATGACTATACTAACGTCTTGTGTCTGCAGGTATCTGGTGTTCTCATTGCTGTGCTCTGACTCTAGCAGTAACAGAAAACAAAGATGTTATCAGATTAAACATCCAGTAGACATTTTTAGCAGGATTACAATTATACCATTTAAAAAAAAAATGCAATAGACTAATAGACACATGCATATGCGCCGCACATGTTACAGCACTTTATAACTCACACAATAGACTCTAAGATAATAAAATGCTTTTCCTGGGAGCAAATGTTGCCATCATTTTGGTGTTTAAGAAGGGAAAGGAGATCAAGCCCATAGTAGAGTGCAGGTCATGCCTTCCAGAAAATACTGTCATCATCCAAGGACTCAACATCTTATTTGAGAACATTAGCTTCAAGAAATACACTGAGCAGTGGACACATTTGGGATGCTACAAAATGTAGTTTCCCCATTTTAATTTCTGAACATTATTCAGTTGTGTTTTAAGTTTAACTAAAAGTAAATGTATCGATATTTATTTTCTCTGGACGCTTGAAAATTGGGGTAATCCAAACGGAAAGTAATCACATGTTACTTTGATATTTGACACTTGAATAAGGCTACTGTTTACATGTTTGAAAAGGTAAAAAAGTAAGAAAACATGGATTAAAGACCCACAACAAGATACGATGATAATTGCATGCATTAAGTGACACAGTGATAAACACACGTGACTCTCTGTCAGTGAAGTCACCTTGTCCTTGCTTCAAAATTAAAACATTCACTCCAGCTCAAAGGAGCTGTCATGCTGATTCTCTTTGCCTCCCCGCTTCCTATTCAACCTAGACACTGTGCCGACAGAGAAACAAGACGAGGTTCAGTGTAGCTGTGTGGTGAGACAATGACACTAATGCTGCCAAGGTTTGATTCCCACTGAGGCCAGCGCGGAAATGTTTGCTGCCATGGTGCTGAAAGGTGCTCTGGATAAAACGTCTCCAACAAATGATATTATGTTCTACACAGCAGTCTGCGGAAAGAGGTTAAATGTCTTCCTTTGGGGTAAAAAACAGAAACACTCACTTGAAAGCGAGGAACTTCTAAATCGGACCAGGTCCAGTCATGAAACTTTTAGCGCGTCTTCCCAGGAAACTAAATATTAATTGAGTCTAAACAGAGAACTCATGCAGCAGGGTGAGTGATCTCAAACCATGCTGTCATTTTGAATAACCAGTATCAAACTTGTTTTTGGTGATCAGGGTTCTGCTACGTAAAAAGCAATGTAAATAAAACCAGTCACCACATTGAAATTGTTCTAAATATATCCCATAACCTCTCCTATTCACCAGAACTTTCCCCTCAGACTTTTTATACTCTGTCCGGATGTGACGCACATTGTGACCCATATGCTCTGAAACTAAGTAAAAAGGGTTTTAAATGATTCATACCATGTCAAACTCCTTGAGCTCAGCAAACATGCATTTTCGCTTGTGAGTTTCTGCTTTATTTCAACACTATCTTTCCAAGAATTTTGCATATTGCTGGAAATGTAAAAACGGAAATATCAAATGCATATTGCACCCGGGATCATATGTGCATAAACACTGCGTTCCCTTGACAACCTTAGCTGAACCCGTTGAATAATGCAGATGAAACATAACTTATGTAAGACCTCGGGGGGGACGAGGACAGTCTGGACACTTTTCAGTTGACACCCTCAATCTTTGGATTCTAGGATGCAGCAGTGTTTAATTTACTGTAGATGTTCCCATGAAATAAAGATGCCAGGATTTTGTTTCTAATACTTGTTGCATATTTATGTTTACACAAATATTCAAATGTGTTTGAGTAGTTATTTTTCCTTCATTCAAACAATGGGAGCCATTATTAAATAACTAAAGGATCTGTGATTTACTTTATTCACGCACAATTTGAGTAAGATTATTTCTTAGCTTCTCATTTAACACAAAATAAATATTTATGATAACCAATTCAGTTTTTTAAAATTTGACAGACTGTTAATGTATCCTAAAAGAAATGTCATACAAGTAGATAAATGAATGATGAAGCTAAAAAGAGGATTTTAAGGACACAGTTTAATCCTGTTGACCTCGAATGCACCAACAGATGAGCTCAGCCAATGAGAGACCTGCTCTACATTTGAGCCTTTTGCCCCAACTAAAACAGAGCACTGCAGAAAGAGATACAACGCAGATAATGAGTTTTAAAGCCTCAACATTTCAACAAAATAATGCATTTTTCTTGTATGGAAAAATATAGAAAGTATTGATTAGGCCTATCCTAAAACTGATTTTAAAGTTTCAACTCGTTTTTCTAAACGTATTTACAGTCACTGAAATAGTGTATGGGTGAATACTTATTTGGGTGCATCAAAGCATTGTAATGTTATCTCATCTGAACAGAATGCTTTTCCCTTTCATGTGTCTCTTAAGGCGAATAAGATAACTTAAGTCTCATGAGCAACATGCAGTTTTTTAAGGCTGAAAGCTCGGGATTGTTCAAAATGAAAGATGCATGAAAAATAACTTTTCATATATGCAATTGATTGTGTCTATTTCCAAGATACGACATAGGTGAGTTGATTTGCAAAAATAAAAACACCGATAGGTTACGCCTGTTTAAACTTTAGAATGTAGGCCTATCTTTGTATTTCGGGTCTCAATAACACACTGAATGAGACGTTTTCTGCAGCGAGGCAGGCGATGTACACGGGTTCATTCAGAAGAAAGAAGCACGACCGAGTCAGTGTGGCTTGGGGGTATTTTACAGGAGATAAGACTGGTTGTACAGTGCGTGCACACACACACACAGACACACACACAGACACGCACACACACACACACAGCCCGAGATGCGTAGCAGAGAGCGGGAACCCTTGAGGGATCATCTCATCTCAGGCTGTAAGGAACACAGGCGGAGAACAAAGAGCGCCAGGGTGGGTGTGAGACACTATCTGTCCTTCATCAATCCCCTGCCGAAGTGTCCTTGAGCAAGATTGCTCACCGAGATGCTGCTGCTGACCTTATACTGTCCTCTTAGAGGGAGAATTAACGGGGTGCTGTGTGACATCTTCATTAAAGAGTGGGTAAATTACACTTTTTTTGCACATACAAAATGGTTAAAGCCTTATTGCCCTTTAACACATGTGTTAGAGTGGCGGTTTGTATGCTGCTGTTGGCTATTTTCATTCATTTCGCAAAATTATTTTTAAAAAAATGCAATATTTCTACCAAAATGTTTATACTTAATGATGGCCAGAGTTACGTGTTTTAAGGTGAATTAACAAACCTAAAAATAGAACCCATCAGTAAAGCTGCAAACAGATGTTTAGAGAAATACATGCGGCTCCATTTGTTGAAAACATTTTTTAAATATGCACCATCCCATCTCCCATGAATGGGACGGCGCTGCTGAAGGATAATTAATAAGGGAAGCGCTGTCCTCCACCAACACGTTTCCACTGCTCCCTTTTGGCACTAACTGACCCGTTGTTAATCCAACACAATACAACAAATGTAGCGGCATCCTCTTGCGGCTCTGGGTGTCGGTGAACAAACAGCATAATTAAAACAGGGGGACAAAAGAGGGATTTCACACAGAACACAGCGCACCAGGGTGAATGGTTTAGATTTGGTAAATGAATGTGAAATAAGCATTGTGTATGCCGCAGGTGGTGAGTGATTATTCACTCAGAATAACAACAGTGGATATAAACTGTGTAGCACATTGGAACAACAGGCTTCCCATAGCGTATTTTACGCACATATCCAATGGCACTTTTTCAGTTTGAAAAGTGAGAGGACAAATTAAGTGTCAGGTTTGATCTCATATGTGTAATGCAAAAAAACTGTCAATGTGGTAAAACAAGGGCTTCCAAACAGGTTGTGTTAGTTTTAACATGTTTTAAAATGCTACACATGAGATGATCTAAAGTTTTAAACTTTGTGGCAAATATGTTGTTTTTAAACCAAATCAATAGATGTGAAACAGCACTCAGAGCTTACGCCTGTTTAAATAGTTAACTTGTTTTTAAAACAGTAAATTATTTTATGGCTGACTTGCAAACTTAATGGCCTGTTAAGATTTATATTGTACAGTGAGCAACATTACGCACAACTTCAAACACAGAAATATAATAAATAAATGCATGCCTCACTTGACCACCTTCACACACCTATAGTCTTACCCTCTCTTCTCATGCCGACCTTCAGGCACTTCTTCAGGCGGCAGTACTGGCACTGGTTCCGGTGGTGCTGGTCGATGGGACAGTCTCGGTTCCCCCGGCAGGTGTACGAGAGGTTCCGCCTCACCGAGCGCTTAAAGAAGCTTTTGCATCCCTCGCAGGTGAACTGACCGTAATGCTTCCCACTGGACTTGTCTCCGCACACCATGCAGTCCACGTTGGGGATTTTGTCCCCGGAAAGTGTGTCAGTCCCCGGGGTGGAACCGTTGGGGGTCCCCGGTGCACCGCCGGGCTCCTGGCTGCATATCTGGAGCTGAGACCCCGGATCTGCAGAAATGTTCTCTGGCCACTGGTTTACTACCATTGCCATGCTATCCCCAAACACTTTGCTCTTTGTTTAAATCACAGAAGGAGAGACTGAGATCCTGCTGACGTCTTGGGAGAGAAAAAAACGAGGAAGGGCGAACAGGCGCTTCCCACTTCCTCCAGAGGTCAATCTGAGCTTATTTGAGCGTATTTATTTAAATGGTTTATCGGAATTACTGAGTTCTTCCCGTAAACATCTAATCAAAGTTCACAGCAACAGCGAGGTATCAACATGATCGATGCATAAGAGCGTAGCCTACAACTCCCGGGGCTCCTCGCTGCGCAGCAATCCATAAACACGTTGTTGGTTCTTCAGAGTGCAACCTCTCGGAAAACTCAGTCCATACAGTCAGCGTGTCGGCTGTAAAAACAAAATCTTATCTTACTTCTTCTCCGCTTATATAACTTGAAACACGGGGGAATGTTAACAGACAGCAATGTTACCCCTCCAGTCGCCCCAGTCTGTCCTCCGATCAATAGCGTTCTGCGTTTGGATTCACGCAACTGAAAATCTTACCCCCAGACTGACCGCGTTTCATGGTGTTTAGAGATTTATTTAGTCCCAGCAAGCTCTTGTAGACAATATGACTCGCAGAAGGCAATCCCTGCTCCTCTTGTTCTTGCGCGCCGCAGTGGGGTTTTTGAAGAGCGACGTCTGATCTTTATTTACCCAACAGACAGCCCAGATATCCTCGGTGATCGTCCGTGTGGTAGACCAGCTTTAACAGGCAGACACTTTACGCGCACACCAGTGTTTGCCGCTCGAGTGTATCCCGTCAGCTTTCGACTGTCCGTCCAATCTCAGAGAGGCAAAGCTACAATTTGGGGGAAAGTGTCACTATCAGGCTGCCTCGTACGGCTGCCCCCCCCGGCTGCGCTCCATATTAGGTCATACGTACCATATAAGGAAGTGTCCCCTCCCCTCAGCGGGAGAGGTGAGACATAAAAGGTCTGCAGTGATTGGCCACAAAAGTCTGTTAAAAAAGTAAGGAGCGTCTCTGATTGGACGGCAGTCGATTAGGATGGGGTTGACTGACAGGCGCGGTTGTTGTGATACAAGTACTTTAAAGTGTCCCATTGAAAATACTATGTACTGCATCTTGTTTGTTTAGAGGTGCAATAAACATGTTGTTAGTTTGTAATTTAAATACGTTTGTAAAGTTAAATAAGCTCTGGGAACTATTCGTGCTGCGTATGTGTTCTACTTTACTTGTTTTATGTTTTAATCGTTATTTTTAAAGGATAATGTATAGGCTACTTATAATAAAGGGAGAAGGGATTTAAAGTTCCTCTCCACTCATGTGTTTTGCTATTTAATTACATATTTTACCTTCACTTAAAGAAGACTGGAAAGTGTCTCTGTGCTTACTTTAAATCTCAGTCTAAGCTTTGTGATCATGCTGTTGTGACTCATTTGGCGGATAATCATCTAAGAGGGATATGGAAACCAGAATATTTTATTTTCAGTAAAGTAGTAGTAGAAATGAACAATAATTGCATTTTTACAGCTTCTGTTTTTCAATGACAGATAAGAAATAGGTATATAATAAGAGTTTGAACAAAGCAATTTAACTTATTTGTATAGAGAAAACGTTACATTATTATTGTTTTAAGCATTTGCATACGACTAAAACATGTTCTTTACGATTTACGAAATGATATGTAGGCACTGGCTGTCTGGTTCCCAGGTATTTTAAGGTCATTTCCTGACATGAAATAAAAATTAATGTTTTCTCTGAAAATATAATGTCATGTTGTTTATTGTTTTGCCCTCTGATCAGCGACTGAAGGTCACGGTTTACCAACCGTTTTATCTACCGTGCAGCATTGCCTAGCCATTAATCTTAGGCAGCTGTCTTGTGCATGTAATCCCACAGATGTTTTCTAACAGACTGGTGTCAACACATTTTAACCCCACCTAGAACTTTAAATATTCTATCTTAAAAGTGCTAAAAAGTTAACTAACAACCAATCTTTCAGAATAATACATTATTATTTAGCTTTCCAGAAATGCTCCTCTCAGCTCTGCAACAGAAACAAAAGGTGCTACACTTCTCACCAAGCCATAAAACTCCGTAAATCGTTTACCAGTCGAGAAAGTGTTGATTTTTGTCGTTTTGTTGTGTTACAGTCTCTGCAGCGCACAAAAGGCTGTTGCGGTAATTAACAGTGACAGTGTTGTTCTCTAATGGGTTTCTTTCCACACCGAGAGCAGCGGGGACCTGATTATTTTCCCAGATCGGGTCTTGAGTTGTCATGTGAAGGTAATTCCAACAACACCGCTGCCAGGGGGCGAGTGTCCCATCAGCCTGTGCTGCATGGGACCGGGGTTTGAGAAGCGATAATGTGTTTAGACACGCTCTCACACTTCCCCTCTGAAGCACATGCATAGCTACATCATCTATCGATATATCTATCTATATCTATATCCATCTACGATTGTCTTGAAACAATTCGGACTTTTGCGCACCTATTCCCAATAACTCAAATTAATAGCCTAATTACGTGTCGATGCCAAAACAAACTTCATGATAGGCTTACGCAGCACATTACCCACACTTGCCATTACTCCTACTGTAATGATGATAATAATAATACTAATAATGATTATAAACTGGATACAAATAAACTAAAAAAACAAGAGAAACAGCTGTTAAAATAACGTATTATTTTGGGCTATATGTATATATATATGCCTAGAGCAAGGGCAGCTGAATTACGAAACAACAGCAACTTACATCCTGTTAACAGAATCTTATCTATCTAAAGACAAAAAAAGAGGAACTGTAATTCCCAACTTTGCTTCTCCCAAAAGGAAAGAAAGCCTAAAAGACGAAACCCCACTTAGGGGTCCTGAACGCGGTTCTCGCCCGAGGCCATGAGGTTGGCCCTGCGCGCGGCTTAATTGCTGTCACATGTAACCTTACCTGTCTCCCAATTAGCCCCGTGACTCGCTATTAGCAGATTCCACGAGCTGTAGGCCAGTGGCCAAGGGCACCTCAGGGTTTGGGGTCCAATAATTAGAGTGTAATTCTATACAGCTGAGGCTTATGATGAATTTGACCAGAAAAGGGGTTAATTAAATGAGGATCAACTTCAGGTTTACTATTGTATGTGATCTCCACACATTAATCCCTCAATAAAGACAACATGTCCCTCAGTTTCTTTAGAAAGTAAAGTTCTTGCTCTTTTTAAAACTCGTAAAAAGTTCAAATTAAGTGACATTTGTGAAGTCTCCCTGGGGCTGCATTTAGACGGTTCACACAATAATGTTAAAGTGTATTTTTGTTTATTTTTAGTGATGAGAACTTTTCAGACCCTTTACAACTAAGGGAAAAGTCTGAAAGAGTCAGCATCAATAATACAGGTTTTTACTATATTTGAATTACAGTATGTATGCTAGATAGTTTAATCTAATGCATCATATTCTTTAAAATGATCATATATTGTCACTGTCTGGTGAGAACTACAAATCTCAATGAAGGAAACTTTGAATGAGCCCAAAAAAACAGCCCTGTTTCATCTTTTTGATAATGCATTTTCCAGCTGATCCAAGATGGTTTTTAAATAGTTTATTTAGCTTAAGTTTGATCCCTTTCTCAACCCATCTAGGGACAAATAATCCTTCAATTTATCACTGGACAGGAAGAAGACAACAACTTTAATCTGAAACGTAACTAAAGCTTTCAGACAAACATAAAAATAAGCTTTCAAAATGTGCCTCTGAGATGTAGAGGTATACATCAGCATACAGGTCGCATTACACAAGCACTTCCTATTTGTGCTTGAGTAAAAGTACGTACTTAGTTTATACCACTGTTATTTTCAAAATGTTTATCTTCCCAAATGTTTAATGTTTGGAGACAGAAGCTGACCTGAGGGGGACACAAGTATTTCTTAACACTGCACTATGAACACATGTTTTCCTCATAGACTTTTGCAGACTTTTATTCAAACGTATTTGTCACAGGTCAAAAACTAATTATAAAGCTCATGACATTCAGCGTTGTTTTTGGGATCCAGAGAAGAAGGTGGAAAAAGAATGCAACATAATTTCTGTGACTGATTTAGCTGCTGCACCTTGAACCATCTAATCACAGTGAACCTTGCACTATCATACCTAAAAGTAAGTTAAACAAATGCATAGAATAGCTTGCCAGTGTGTGTTTCTCAGTGATGGATGGCTGGACCAACTGGTGCTGCGAGGCTCTGACACACGAGGGTGTCAGGGCAGGGGCAGGGGGTGGTAAACATGACCGCACCGGATGGCCTAGGAAATGCAGAGGCCACTGGTTCGCTTGTTAATTTATGGACGGCCTGACAACACCAGAGCCCACAATGCAATGCTCCGCTTGCTAAATATGATCCCATTGAGGAAAGGAGCCATCAAGCGAGCAGGTATGTAACCTGAGCATGCTACCGAAATAGAAATTCAAAGCTAAGAATGACATGTTTGTTAGGAGGTCTTACGCCTGCCGCCCGTGTCTTGCATGACCCGTGAACAGATCGTATCTGGATGCTCTTGTGCTCACAGGAGGTTAAGCGCTGATGAGCTGCTCTGGAGAGGCTCGCTGATGGACAGACAAGGAAGAAGTACATTGTAGCTTACCAAGTACTGTGAGTCTGCAAAAAAGACAGCATGTGAATAAGTGAATCACTTAAATCTCAACATCTTAATCTTAGACACACTGAGGATAAACTTTAGGGGCTTTTTGCAAGGCATTACATTGTCATAATGCAGGAGTGACTGACCCTACATTCACATACAGTCACACTGTGCGAGGGTGTTTACTCACGGCAGAGACACAGATGATGAAGTTTCTTGAAAGTCAGCGCTGTTTCCTTTGGCCGATTGGGGTTGATTAAGAGGTTAACTGTGCAGAGGCATGGCGTCTTTAAGGGAGATTTATCTGTTCCTGCTCTGACCCCCTCGGGGGTAGCTTCCCTCACCCCCAGTGTCCCCAGGATTTATTTAGTTATTTGTTTATCTGTTGGACGGGGTCACCATTTTCTCTGCACTACATCTCAGTCCTGTTTGTGCATCTCAAACCCATTTCTCATGTCGTTTCTTGTGGGATTGTGGCGCTGGATGCATTTGCTGACTAAGAGAAGAGGACACGAGGGAAGGCCCCGCCGAGTCTAGTGACCTTTAACATTTGGCAAGGATACACTCCCAAAATTGGTTATTTTCATTTAACACGTATTTTGCTATCTGTTCAACTCTGGCCCCCATTTGGAGGAATTATGGTGTTTTCCTAATTGCTTCCTGACAGTTTTAATTCAGCTGCACTTTAATTTATGGCCTTTATTTCCTATTTTTGCATTATTTTATTAAAGTGCGTGCGTGAGTTTCACAATGGTAGCAAACCATAGTTTACAATCCTGACGGATGAAACTTTGATTTATCATTTCACACAGGAAAATGTTCCCAGATTTAAAAAACAAACATCATCAATACACATCACCAATTTGTTATTACAACCCAGCATCTTATGTTTATTTGCTTTTGCAGTTTAGATTCATCACAGTGTCAAAACAATAAACACAATTTCCAGGAAGTGGATTATATATATTAATTCAACAGTTTTACTGTGGGAAATCTATCAGCCAGTCCTCCAAAAATTCAAATGACTATATGCAAACAGCTTCTTAGATAATATTGAATTACATGTTTTACTATCAAGCTACCAGGTCTCATTCTGTGTTTGAATCTTGCTTGAACATACTAGGAATAGAGACATCTCAAGAACCACCTTCAACAACGTAAAATCCTCAAGTGATTGCTAGTACTCACTATCT